CACCGGGCGACGAGGATGCAGTGCCTGCGTAGCCGCTTTGAATCGTATCCAAATTCGGGTCGAGCTTTTTACATTTCATGCAGGTGACATGACCGTTATTTTTTATAACAATTTGTTTGGCCATGCATGAGAAGCGATGACACCCCGTCTGTCCCCTTGCCCCTATTTATGGCAAAAAACTATTTCTGAAAGTTCGATTTCTAATAAATATTCAACGCGCGCAAAAACACCTCTAGCCCTCGCGTGTTCGCGGGGTTCGCAGGGTTCCATAATGTACCGTAGTAAAAATCTTTGAAAACAATGGTAGTCCCAAGACCTCTGCTCCACGCCTCCTATCGTCTTCGTTGCGTCTCCAGTGTTGCTGTAGACAAAGCTCGCGTCGTCATCAATGTCGCAAACAAGGCTCGATTTGCATCGTCATCTCTGTCTTCATATGAACAGGCAGTTCAAAACTTGCCGCAAGGTGCACAGATCCATTTGGATTTTTTCGGAGAACCAATTTCTTTTTTCGGTGTTGAGAGTGGAAGAATTATTGAAAATACCGTTGCAGCGCTTGATCGATTTGAAATCGGGCTGGTAACCAAAGGGAAGGCGTTTACCGGTAATTTTTAAATGTAAATAGAGTGTTGAGTTTTGCATGTGTGTGCCTCAATGTATTGCCTCGTTGTATTTCCATTGTTTGACTACAATGTATAGGGGGGGGTGAGGAGTATGGTGTAAGCATCCAGGCGAGTCACTCTGCCGCACTTGGTGAGATATTGGTGTAGTTTGCCAACCTATTAGATTCGACAACAAAGCTAACGCGTTACTTTTCAAACCCTGCAGCTTGGGCAGACATGATACGTCACGCTACAGTCTGGAATTCAGATGGGAAATCATCTCCAATGCTAGCGCATATTGCGGTGTCACCTCTCTTGGTCCAAACCGGAGTAAATTATGTCAGGCGAATCGACCATTTGTTGTCACAAGTCCCTTCTGGCATCGACGGCGTGCCTCGACTTCAATTGTTGTCATTGGCTCGACTCGCAGTGGATGAGATTCGAAACGAAGATCTGGATCCTAGAGAAACAGCACATCTGAAGGTCTTGGACTGTCTCCTCAAGCAAAATCACAAACTTGCTCTGGCAATATTGGGAAAGCACTTACAGGCTTGTCCCGGCGATTGTCTTGGGTTAAGCTTACTAATGGATTTAGCGCAAGTTCTGGGGGACCAGAAGGCAGCGTCGCGGGGAGCAGGAGCAGTGGCCCAATACTGGGCGGAGCGGCAAGGCACTTTTGTGAAGGCGAGCATTCCGGGATATCACGCCGCCACCTCGTTGATTGCTCTTGGTACGGCTGTTGGTAGGTTGGAAGCAGTATTGACGCTCGGAAGCACCACGTTGTGCACTCATCACACAATATCCTATAGGCGGTCGCCATGACGTGGCGGAACAGCTTGCATTGCAGTCCATTGGCAAAGGAGAGAAATTAGCTGGTACGAATGAATCACCTTTGTACTGCTTCGCTTGTTTGTTTGGCTAAGTGGGGCTCATTTTTCGTTTCCTGTCGGTCTTCCAAGCCGGAATTTCAAGCTGGGCTCTAGCCCACGTCTATGATGCTGAAGGAAGAACTGCGGAAGGTATCTCAGCCTTTGCGAATACGGACGGTATTAAGAACTTTGAGAGCTGTGGGGTTTTCTTTTTTGATTCGATTCTGGCTGGATACGGAGTCCGTTTTGCTCTGGATCGGGAAGAGCGAGGACGCGGGAAAAGCCCTGCGTTGAGACTATACGACAATGCATATGAGCGGGTGTTAGACTCAAATTTATTTGGACGGCGTGGTCATTCAGGAAGTCAAATACGGAAGGCACCGGTTGGCTGGCAGAGTTCCACTTTCAAGACGAACGAAGTCTCGCAATCCTTTATGTCAAAAGTTATTCCTTTATCCCGACCAAAAAACGAGGAACCTTCTTTGAAGAATGACGGTCTTTCGGTTAGCGCCAGCTCGTCGATGTCCTTGACAACACTCGAATGGAAACCTAGCTGTGAAGATGTCCTAACGTGGATCCCCCCAACCCCTCAGTTCCTTGCGGACGCCACGTTGCTTCTTTTTCGGCTAACCCTGAATGGAACCTTATCTTGTGAGAATTATCGGTGGGAGAATTTGAAAAATGCCTGGTCTTTGTTGCTTGAACATGACGGGAAAGAAAGAACCGAGACTGAGGATTTAGCATTCTTCCCTTTGGCATGTATTGCAGCTTCACTCCTTGTCCCCATGAAACCAGCTGGGAACTTATCTGGAGCTGCCGGTCGCTTGGCCGGGGCAATGAAAAAAATGGGAATCCTTCTTAATCTTGGAGAAGTTTCGCTCTCTCGAGACGACATGCAGTCGGAAGAGACAAGTATCAGTAAAATTTTTGCGGATATTGTTGCGGACTCCAGCCCAGATTTTTGGCTCCCTAGCAAGGATATCAAAGATAAGGAGGAATGGAAAGAGATTCTGCGCTTGCTGTCTTCTGTAATATATGGTGTTTTGGAGCAAGAAGAAGATAGCGATTACTTAAATGCTGAACTTCTGGATAGTTTCGAGACTTGGGATTTCGACGCAAGACCATTCATCGAACATGCGACTGTGTATGTTGCTTGTAAATGTGGTGATTTTGAGAGCCTTTCGCTTGCACGATCCATTTGCAGTCGTGGGGTCTCGCTCCGTCCACAAAATCCTGAGGAATGGTGGAGATACAGCATTGTACTAGGCCTACTTGGTGATGAAGTTGCATCAGAGGATGCGTTAAATGCTAGTTTGTCTTTTGGCGGCGGGCAAGGCGTCCGACATGAATAAGGCAACCGCATTAGTTAGTACCTATTAAGTACTCTTTTCCTTTTTAAAAATTGCAGAAGTACCGGTGGCCCGTCTTCTGTGCTCACTTTGTGGGTCTGACTGCACAGGAAAACTGAGATATGGTGGGTGCCATGTCCCACAAATGGCTGAGGACTAACTTAGGCACAGAAGCGACAGAAAGGTTGCTAATGAGATAATATATGCTTTTATCAAGCACTACTTCCCTGGACAATAATAATAACTGAGACATTAATTGTTAATATGCTACTCTCTGGGCATTCGATTGCCGGTAAATGTCGGCTGTAAAGGTCAGGTACTGCTGAGCGATGAGTCCACAACAAGTTTGAACCATGTGAGGCATCTGTGTTAGAATAAAGCAAAATGTGCTCTATCGTGAGTGCTTTTAGCGCTCAGAACAAACTCTCTGCAATCTAAATTCGTAATCGACTGTACAACACTTTCAC